AAACAAGTGGAAGGAGCAGCTCAAACAATCATATGACTGGAGAATAATGGGAACAAGGAGTTTTTTAAATCCAAGAATGCCAAAGTGTCCTTTCTTTCTGTATCTGGGAAGTTGGGTCTCTCCCTGGAAGCAACTGATAGCAAAGCCAGAGACTGAGTACAAGTGAGAATTAATGACAGTGTTAACCAAGCTACAGCAAGAACTGAAAAACATCTTGTTCACCTTCCCCTACTGGACAAAACCTGACTGCTTCCAGTATGTATTTTAATGACTCATCAGGAAAGTGTGTCAGAAGAACCCTGAGGCCCAGATGTACCTTTGTTGCTTAAACAATTTGCTCTGTCCTGCCTGAAGGAACAGAGGCTGTGCAGACGAGACTCAGGCTCCTGCCACCTGTTTTCTGAAGAACCAAAAACATGGAGAAAGATAAATACTGTGGCTGAAAAGAGGTCCAAAAACACAGTCTGAGTTTATCCTAAAGTCAAATTCTGATGTAAAACCATATCCCATATTTTTTCATATTCTACCAAATAATTTGTTCATCTAATGCAACATCCTGCCTCCAGCATGGGCAATAATTGCCATTGGGAAGAGATAAACACCACACAAATTTAAAGCTGTATATAATGGTTGGCACTTGGAAATATTTCCTTACTTACACACTATCACCTGCTTTGTCTCCATTTGAGCACACTCAGCTGCAAATTAAATACTAATGTGAATAACCTGGTTTTTCCTGGAGCTTTGCATGACTGATGCATTTCTTCCATTGTCTTCTCTGCATCCTGAAAGCCACCAACACTTGCACAATCTGCAACAGCACATCAGGATTTACATAACAGCAGTTTAATTCACTGACCAGTCACACATTGTAAACACGGTTATTTTGGGGCATTAAAATATTACTATAAAGAAGTGCATGAAGTAGCTATCATGAAAAAAAAAAAAAAGAGGATGTTACATTTGACTAATTTTTTTTTTTTTGAAATGTGAATTAATAACTCTGATTTATTTTTAGTTATTTGTTAAGTGTAGTAATTCAATGGACTATAAAAGCAAAGAACATCTGCAAATAATTCCAGTTACAGCTCCCAGATCAGTAGAAGAGAAATATTGACAGAAACTCCGGAGAAGTAGAGCATTTAAAAATATGACAACCAAAACAAATCTCAGGGCTTTACAAAGGAGGGAAGTAACTCTCAGTTTGATTTCATATTTTGCTATGGTTGTTTAGTTTTAACAAACATCCAGATTTGAAGTTATTACTGTACTTTTCCTTCTTCACATCCCTCATGTTGGACTTTACACACATAAACTTTGGTCAGACTACCTTTTTTGCTTCTCCTCTCATTTTGATGGCTGTCAGACATGTTGTCCTTAAAGGTATTCAGGTCTAGAAACCTGAAAAAAACAGGCTGTTAATTGATTTCCAATTCACAGCTGTGAATACAAAGCATTAATTTATATTTCAGAGCCATAAGTAAGAGAAAAACATTTGAAAAGCACCTGAAATTATTCAAAATCCTCCAGTGCCCTTTCCTGTGAATGCACAGAACCAATCAGTCCAGGGCAATTCTTTTCTACAGAGCCAGACTATCCAGACTGACTTGACTGAAAACATTACCAAAAATCTGACATCAGCAAGGTAGAAACGTCCCACTTTATCTCAGCCCTGTTACAAATTCATAAATGCATGAAGGGTGATGTGTTATCTCCGAATATTTACAAAGGTACATTTTTTAGACATTTTAAAATCGCACACAGTATAAAAAATAACTAGACTTTATATCACTGCCTTTCTGGATGCCATGAAATTTCTGAGAGCTGTGCTGGGCCTCTGAATGAATTTATATGGCCAAGAGTCACTGCCTGAGACTGCCGGTCTATTAACTTATTAGCAGCAAACTTGGTTTCACTTTACACTGTTGTATTGCCAGGAATAGCATCCTAACCATGAGTGTACCTTTCTGTGAACATCTTTCTATATGTTCAGAAAAACATGTTACTCAAAATGTACTGTTTTATAAACCCCCTTGAAATTTGCATTAAATTAGTTACAAACAGTTGTTAGTTTGTTGAAAGAGCTGATCTCAGGAAAAATAAAACAGCAAGTGTTTTCTCTCTTCATACATTCATCTTCTACACCTTATGTTGGGAAGAATCAGTAGCCAACCAGCTGTCATGGTCTGCAAGGCAGATTGTGTGGAAGCCATTTGGTTGCAGTGGATTTAAATACCACGGTTCTGGCAGAAAAGAACTCTCCTGGGAAAACTCAGCTAGGCTGTTCCTGACTCCACTGGGACAGATTTCACAGCAGTTCAGATCTCAAAGTGTGGAGCAGAATACCCAGATCCTTTTCTCACACCTATCACAGATGTTTCTGTCGCCTTACAAAGCTACCCAACCTCTATCACACAGAAAGAAAACATGATAATTACCTGAATGTGTAAAGCTTTTCAACACATTATTTCAGTAGGGAATATTTATTTTTGAGATTTTTTCAGTGTTCCTAACTGTAGCTAATCTAAAGGGAGTTTCTTTCAGAAGGAAATGGTATCTTTGACAAAAAATTAAAGCTGATAGTTGTTGAAAACCACTGAAAAAATCAACTCCAAGATTAAACAGACCATAAGGTGGTAGTGGCATAAAACAACACGGAACAATCTCAAAGTGCAGACTCTTAAAGAAGAAACACAAGAGGGTTAAGTAGAAGGATCTGAAGTTTTGAAATTCTAGACAGCTAATTCTTGAAATAAAATTAATCTCAGTTAATAGTTTTGATGGATTTGGGACTCTTTCTAAAAAAAACATCCTGAACTTCAGTTTCTCAAGTTACAAGAACATCTAAGGTAATTAAAGACAGTGGGTTGAAATTAATAAAAGAAAATACAATCATGAATATTAGTTCATATCTTTATTAAAATATTTACCAATGTCTTTACTGTTTAATAAATAATTTATAGTAAAAAATCGATAAGATAGTATACGTTAAATAATATATTCAGATATATGATGTGTATGCACATACACAAATGATGTTTATTTAAACATTTATGAATAAATATGTTTAAATATTTAAACATTTATGAACAACAATGTCAAATTATTACATTAGGTACCCCTGGGTGCTAGAAAGGAATTAAGTTCTTTAATGTGCATGGCAGGCTACAAGAAAAGTATTTTAAAGTTACATTGATGTTTATTAAATCCATAAGTAGAACTATAAAAAATAGGACACCTTCTGGCTCTTATGTTGCTAATTTCTTTATAAAATTATATTTCCTCTCTGCTCTTTTCCTCAAGTTAGTGATGGAAAGTAACAATCTTTGTATCTTTCTCTTCATTTCAAAGCCACTACAGAGGTCTCTGGAAATGAAGGGCCTGCGTGGATTTTTTTGGATTCAGCAGCCTTTTGCCACCCAACATTGCTAGTCGGGGAAAGAATTAGGCTTTTGTTACTGATCCTAGCAGCAAAAAAAATATAATTACTTGGTAACACGCAGCAGCCTTCCCAAAAGACTTGTGCATTTTGCTAGATTAATTTTTTACAATAATTTTTGGAATGACCTATAGCTTTGAATCACCCGTAGCTGATGATCAAGGCATTCCAACAAACTGTGCAAAAGTAGCTTAGAAGCACTCTTGACTTCTCATTCCTATGGATAATCCATCAAAATGTTCACCCCATTACATTAGTCTAGTAAGAGTTAGATGGTGAACTTCCCCAAACTCTGCACGTTTTTTTGGATACACAAAACCCACTTCAAAATTATAACCGAGGGGGTTCTGGAAAAAGGTGCGAACAAATCTTACCTGGTGCTTCAGCAGCAAGGAACGAAATAGATGCAGCAACCTACAGAGAAGTCACAAAGCATTTTCAGCTTTTCAGTCCCGCCTTCCTTTGCTGGCCAGCGAGCAATTCAACAGCGATTACACACTCGATTGATTGAAAAGTGTGTTGATTACACACCTTTTTGGATGGGTTTTCGGCGTGTTTTCCTGACTGCGGAGCTCTCGGGCAGCTCCAGCTACACGAGGCTGCTGAGTTTACACGATGTTGCCGAGGTAACCCCCTCCCCCCGGGGGGTGTTTTACTTGGAGCACTTTTTAATTCAAAGAGCAGCGGTGACCTGTGAAAACAAACACGGCCGAGCTAAACGCTGCCGTCGTTTAAACCCTGATCACCGGGCAGCTCTCCCAGCACGCAAAAGAAAACCCTACTCCTCTCTTCTGTCTTTTTTTTTTTTTTTTTTTTTTTTTAATGCTTTTAAAGCCTTGTGTGTTTCTACATCATTTTAAGTTCGAATTGTCCCCTCACCTCGACGCTCCACGTCACTCTTGAGTATTTTTAATCCCCTTTCTGGCAGCCGTAAACAGCAGATTTTAAGGATATTTCTTCTTCTTCTCTTAAGTAGCAGATTGCTAAGAGGGAAGAAAGGACAAAAAAGGTACGGTGGGGCTCAGGCTGAGCCGAAAGGGTGTTTAAGGGAGATGGTTTGCTGGATACCAGAAGCACTTGGCCGCCGTCCCCCTGGACGCGGCTGAGGGGAGGCACAAGCGAGGGGAAGGCTTTGGGCTAGGCGGGAGCAGGGACACGAGCCCTGGGGACACCAGCCCCGGCCGGCCGACAGGGGCTGTGTCACTCGTACACCTGCGGGTACCCGGCACACCCGGCTTCGTTTGCCCTCTCGGCTGCGCCTGACAGAGGGACGCGGGGAGGAGAGCCCGGGGTACAGAGAGGCAGGAGCTGGGTTGTGAGGGAGCCACGCCGGGAAGAGCTGTGAGGGGCAGCTCGGGCTGGACGGGCTGTGAGGGGCAGCCAGGCTGTGCGGGAGCCTGGACTGGATTCTGAGGAGCACCCGGGCTAGACAGCCCGTGACAACCCAGGACGGGCTGTGAAGGAGCCCGGGCTGGACCGGCCGTGAGAAGAGACGGGACGGGCTGTGAGGGGAGCGGGGACGGGCCGTGAGGGGAGCCGCCCTCGGCCGCTTTCCCGGCAGCCTCCGCGCCCGCGGGGCCCCGGCCGTGGAGCAAGATGGCGGCGGACAGCGAAGTGAGTGTTTATCCCGCTGCTCTCTACCTGCTCTCTCTCTCTGCTTTCCCCTCTTACCGCCTCTCCCGCTCTCTCCCCGCAGCCCGAGTCGGAGGTGTTTGAGATCACGGACTTCACCACCGCCTCCGAGTGGGAGAGGTAGGTGCTGCCGCGCCCCTCGCTCTTGGCGGGGGTGACGCGGGGGCTCCGCCGTGCCCGGCCCGGCCGCTCCCGCCGGGAGGAACCGGGACCCCCAGGGACCCCTCAGGCACGGCCGGTCTTGGCACCCGGGAGCACCCGGCGTCTCCCGGAGCCGCGTCCCGGCTGTGCCACGTCGGGCTCAGGCCGCGCCCGAGGGTGGATGAAGAGGCTCCAATCGAGCTGTTTCTGAACTTAGTGAAAGGCCCAGTTTAACATCTGTCTGCAAGGGGTTAAAATATACATTCAGAAGGCTTATACGTTTTTTAAGGAGCTGCCTGATTATTAAAATAGTCATCTCATACCTGAATTCTTTAACAGTTAGAACAATGTACAAATCTAAGGTGAATAATGCTCTTGCCTTCTTATGGTTTTATTTTTTTAAACGCCTTATATGTTTATGGTAAGAGACAGAGATACTAAGTGCTGCGTTTTAAACGTGAGTGTAGCGTGTAATTGTGTCTCAAATGTTTATTTATCTGTGAGCAATGAAACAGGACCATATGTTAAATGTTATGTGCTGCAATACCAGAAAAAGAAAGAAGGGAGATTCTTCAAACCCTCAAAAGATGGTCATAGCAGTTGCTAAGAGTACTGTAATCTGAAATGTAAGCGTAGGAGGTCTGTTTTATCTGTAGAAGGAAGCAATTGTTCTGGTTTTATTGTGTTTTTTCTTGTTGTGGTTTTTTTTTTGTTTGTTTGTTCTTTGGGTTTTTTTAAGGAACTCCATAGTAGGACAAAAAATTGCCTGCTTTTGAGCAGATGAATTGTAAGATAAGTTCATCATTCAGTAAATATTAATGCCTTTTCCCCTCCCCAACAGATTTATTTCAAAAGTAGAAGAAGTTTTGAATGACTGGAAACTTATTGGGGTTTCTTCAGGCAAACCTCTAGAAAAGGTCAGTTACTGCTTCTGAGTTTTCTTTTAGAATTTGAATTGCTCACTAGTCATCACACGTCCGTTCCATCCATTGCTGGATAATGATTTTTATTAGGGACTATCACTTGTGAAAGTGCCAATTTGACAAACAGGTGCTGTAAATTCACTGGCAGGCCGTCTGCCAAGCAAGCTGTTTGTTGATAAAGCTGAATCTTCATGTAAGGCTTGGTGATTTCCAGTTTGAATCTGGAAACGTGATTGCAGCCGCTGTAAATTAATTCTTAAGGAATCTTGTCCCCCCGCCGTGTGCCTTTGTCACACCTCACGTCCTCATGGCTGAGGTTTGCAGGGTGCTACGGGTGACTCACAATGTTTCTGAGATCACTGAGATTTTTTTCAAAGCCTAATTAGAGCCTTTGTGGTGCTTTCCCAGCCCTGTAAAATGCAGAGGAAATTGCTGAGCTCTTCTGCGTCCCAGTGCAGACAAATTCAGCTGTTCTGTACAGAATGGCTGCTGTGTTTCCAGAGGAATTCAATAAATCTTGATTTTAATCAGGATACAGAGCATTCAGAATAAAAACTTGTGTTATCTAATGAACTAATTTTACACCTTAGCTGTCTGTGTATTCCTACATGTCTTGTTTGCTAGACAAGACCTCTTCTAATACCCTTTACTGATCAGAGGGTTGTCCAAGTTGCTTTGTTTTAGTAGCAGCATAGGATTCTGTACAGTGATGCTGATTTTTTTTTTTTTAGAATATCTTATGCTGCATTTATGTTTAAAAATGAATTATCCTAAGAGATTTTTTCCAAAATAAAGATTAAAAAACTAATTTGCTAGTGGAAATATATCCAAAGTAAATATCAAGGTAATATTTGCACAGATTGGTTTAGATATAGTCCAGGTGGGAAACTTCTGTCTCTGGCAAAATTGAGGGTGCCTATGCTTAAGATGCATAGTAACATATGAGAATATGTTTCTGCCCCTTCATTGCCATTTAATTCTGAAGACTTCTCAGGGAGATACCTGATCCTTGGAATGAACATGATTATTAACATGGATTTTAACATTCAACTACCTTTATAATGAAGTCCTTTGAGTGTTGCTTTTTTTGTAATTAAATCATGCTTAGCTATTTATGAATAAATATTTGGCAGTAGAAAACAATGAATAAACATTATTGATCATGTAGGTAATATACTAATGAACGTTAACCTAAATTCATTGATAAAGTAGTGTATTTTCTGTATGCAGGGTATATTCACTACAGGGACGTGGGAAGAGAAATCAGATGAAATTTCATTTGCGGACTTCAAATTCTCAGTTACCCACCATTACCTTGTGCAAGAGCCCAGTGACAAAGATGGGAAAGAAGAGCTGGCAGAAGGTACCCGCTCGTTCCCTCCCATACCTGTAAGGATATGACAAAAGGCAGTGTCAGAATGTGGAATTCACGGTGTGTTGATTTGCTTCTGAGTGAGATTTTGTGAGATCTGATGGGCGTGATCTAACATTTCTGCTTTTAGTATGCTTTGCGTTCACTCAGTGCTAATCTAAGCAATTGGCAAGTGAGCTGGGTGGCTGCTGCTGATCTTATATATGGATTTTTTGGGTTTTTTTTGTTTTTTTTTTTTCACAGATGCCCTTCCCTTGCCAATGCAGGACTTGCTGTGCATGAACAATGACTTTCCCCCTCGAGCCCACTGCCTGGTGAGATGGTATGTGCCCTGCCTCGTCTCCCATGCAAACCAGCATAGCAATGGAGGAATCTCTGATGCTGGCACAAGCACTTGTGTATTTGTTTTTCAGTTAAAAGTTAAAGCTTAAGTAAAATGATTCTTCATACTGGACACAGGAAAGAAGTGCAAAAAAAGGCCTGTCTTTACTTTTGGTTTTTGTCCCCGAAAGACTTTTATCCTGGTTTCATAAATCAACCAAACCTTTATATATGTGGTGTTTAGATACATTCTTAAAAAGGAAAGCTGCAGCACCTTCAGAAACAGCAGCTCTATTCTTAGTAATGCAGATCTTTAGCACATTATAGCATTGTTCCAGAGAGATTGTTTCTGTGTGTAAATAGTCTCAGTTGTTATTATGTTGTAATATAAAGTAAAGTTGTATTATAAAGTAAAAAGCCTCAGGACTGGTAGACCTGGAAGTCCTCCCAGTCAAACACTTTACAGGGTTTGAATGTTGTTGAGCTCAGGTGGTTTGTGATTTTGGACTGTGCAGCACCTTCTGCCCACTCAGTTCTTGACCCCTCTGACAGAGCTACTCACATCAAATTAACAGATTCCACAGTCTGTTGGTGACAATTAGGTTATTCAGGTCACAGTGTTGCTAAAAATTCTATTCTAGCTGGCTGGCTAAAGAGCAGAAATGTGCTCTTTTTCTTGTCTTTCCCAAGGTATGGCTTGCGGGAGTTTGTGGTGATTGCTCCTGCTGCAAATAACGAGGCCGTTTTGAGTGAATCCAAGTGTAACCTTCTGCTGAGTTCTGTTTCCATTGCTCTGGGGAACACTGGCTGGTAGGTGAAAGTACTTCTGACCTTTTCACATGTCCAGGTAAAACTGTGGCATGCTGCATTTGTGAGGGAAAAGCATTAAGTTGTTAGCAAAATACATACATGTTGTTTTTGCACTATAACATTGTTAGAGAAGGATTAAAAGATTTTCCATAGTGATTTTTAAAAAGATTTGTTCAATGTGTTGTTTATATTCATTGTTGTTTAAAAACCTTAAATACTTTCAAAAGCTGCTAGAAGTTGTTGGAAAAACAACATATAGAAAATACAGAAACAATAGAAAAAAGAATATAGAAACAATAGAAAATATAACTTAAGGAGGAGGATTTCATGTGTGATAACAGTAACTTCCTAATCTTCCTCAAAAATTAATTAATTAGACTGAAAATTAGGTAACAGAAGTCATGGGTATGGCTGTGATTGTGACGTGACAATTTGTTAGGCATTCTCTTTGATGATGACGTTAATAGCATTTTTCTTTGATCCCTGTCAAGTGTTTTAAAGTGTGTTCCACTACGAGAAAATATATTGCAAAGAACATGGCATGACATCGAAATTATGCTGAAATATTTAGCGAGTTTGAAAGACTACTAGACAGCGTGACACTTTCAATAACCTGAAACGCTCGTGTTTGTGCAGTCAGGTGCCAGTGTTTGTGCAGATCCACCAGAAGTGGCGCCGGATGTACGTCGGGGAATGTCAGGGCCCAGGAGTCCGGACAGACTTCGAAATGGTCCATCTGCGCAAGGTGCCCAGCCAGTACACTCACCTATCGGGGCTGCTGGAGATCTTCAAAACCAAGATTGTAAGTGCAGCTGAATGTATAAAACCGAGGTTAAGAATAGTTATTTTGTTGCCTGGATGCTCGCAGATTCACCGGTATCTGACCATAAAGAGGGACGGTTAGTGTGGGTTTGGTTCCTCCGTGTTACCACCTTCCCTATTTGATTTGTACTGGGATGTGAAATAATGTGTGTTTTACAGTTTCCTTGTAACAACCCTCTTCCCCCTCGCCCAAACAAACTGTATTTTGCTATTGGAAAGGAGAAGGGAGGGTTGGGGTGGTTTTTATTCTGATACTTTGTAGCTCCCCAAGTTAAGAGTGAAGAACACCCTGAGGGCATGTGAGGGGGCTCAATGGACTGCTTGTTTACAGAGTGGTATGGCTGCCTTCAGCACTACACAACCAGTATTGGTACCCAGCAATCTGAGCAAAACACTGAGGAGAAAAATCCTTAATAAAAACCCTATGCATTCTGGGTCAGAGTTACTTGAATTACCAGCCAAATGGAGCATACAACTGTCTCCTGCATTTTATCTGTGATTGTCGTGTTTAGCAGTGGCTTTACCAGTAATCACACAGTAATCATTACGGTTGGAAAAACCCTCCAAGTTCATCACGTCCAACCTTCAAATGCTTGGGGTGTCACAGTTGTGCTAAAATTAGCTCTAATACAAGCTTTTGTGACTCACTTCTGTCCAAGGCCTGGTGTGTTTGAGAGGATATACTCTTTGCATTGAATTTCCCCTCTGATATCTTGCAGGGGTGCCCTCTGACACCACTGCCTCCTGTCAGCATGGCCATCCGCCTGACCTACGTGCTCCAGGACTGCCAGCAGCACTTCTGGCCTCAGCAGCCACCAGGTAGGAGATCCCTGTCCTCAGAATAACGGGTTTTAAGTCAAACAGTCAGTGCTCTTGGTGTGTCTTGCCAGCAGGATGAAAACATTTTCTGCATGAGTAGGAAAGGCTTCATTTTCAACTGAGTCCAATCCCAGTCCCTCTGCTGGGCTCGCAGGTTTAAAGCTCCTCTGAAATCGTGTCTGTGCCTCATGGTTGGGACAGGGGGTTTTGGGTAGGGCTGTGCCTAAAAATGGGGTTTGTTAGCATTTAGAGATGCAGTGATACTTTTAAAATTGCAGTATATATGTGAAGTGAAAAAGGTGACTGTGAATCTGTGGAGAACTCTGCCCTGAATTCCTTAGGGAAATGTTTAGATTCAGGTTTTAGTAGGTGCTGATATTTCATGGGAATATTTGTCAATTGTTTCTGTAAAGTACCTTATTTTAATACTTCACTATCTATTGACAATGGGAAAAGCAGAAAGTGTTATATGGACCCCACGTGAGGTAAAAGTTTGGATTGTTGTTGTTATTGTTTACAGAGTGTTGAGTAAGCCAAGCAGTTGGTTTATGTACTTTTTCTTAATACATGAACCAAGTTCTTTTGTTGACTTGGTAGTGGTTTTACATAACAAGGTTGAAGTATTTAGGACAGCACTGAGAGAGAGGGAACTCTGTGTGGCCTTGGTCTCTTATTTAGCTGTTTGGCTTTCCTTTGCTTACAACAAAGGTACCCTGATGAAAGGTGTGTTTTGAGGAAGTCTGTAGTGAGGTTGGTTCTGTGTGCTTTGTAGCTAAGGAATGTGTGTTGAACATATGTTTAAAGAGAGTCCTGCTTTTCAGGGGGAGAAAAGCAGTGCTAGTTTAAATCATAGTTTCCTTCTTTCAGTAAACCAAGGTTACCTAAAGAACCTGGGAAACAAATTCTGCAGATTTTATTCTTCTTTTGTTTCTGCAGACACAGAAACCTGTTTTGTGTGGTGTCTCTGCCTTGCTGTAGTTACTGAGTCAGGATCCCTGGTTTGTGGTGGATGAGTGGTACTACTTTGATCCTATTTCTTGATTTAAGCAGTTTGAATAACTTCTCCTTGAGAGGGATCTGGTTAAAGGAGCCAGAGTCAAAGTGTATTGCAGAGAACTAGACCTGGACCTTATTACTATCACTCAATTAGCTCTTCTCAAAGAAAAGAAATTTAAGTGTGTCTTTTATCTATCTGAAGAGGAAATTACGTAATTAAGTGATCCAAATACTTTATCTGTTCTAATACCTCCCTTGTTTTGTGTGTAAACAGTTTGCCAGATGCATTTAAAATGACAGATCAAATGCTGTAATAGCATTATCATAATGGCATTACAGGGCATCATTATCCATTCAAATTTCTGTTCAGTGAAGGCTGTCTGGGTTTGATTTATGTATTTGAAGAATATAACATGGGAAGTGGCTGTGGATGCTGGGAGGCATCTTTAAGTACATGGGATTACAAGGAATCTCTCAGGTAATTTGATTAAGTCCTTAGCTGTAGGAGGCGTAATCCTCTTTTCACAAAATTGTCACCCTTTTAAAACTAGTTGTTTTTTCACTGCAAGTTGCTCCTCTGGAATCTTCCTTTTCTTCTTGGAACTGATTTGCTGCCCAAATATTTTTATGGCACTTCTGTGTCTGTCTGTTCTTGTGTCAACACTGAATCTTTAAGGCTGTCTTTACAGCTCTCCTCTTTGCCTGTGTGAAGGGAATAGCCTTCCCTCAACAAGAATTAGGAGACTTTGATCTGTCTTTTTGAATGTCCTGTTGCAGGATTGCTTCCCAGTTTGTGTTGGCAGCAATTTGTGTGCTGGGATGGTGTTTTCAGTGCTCAGTCACCCTGGCTGTTCTCTGCTCACCCTACATGCTACAGTCTTTACTGGGAAATTAAGATGATATGTTGCTTCAAATATTCTACAAATTCCACATGGAAAATGTATTGACTTTTCTTCAGATATAGATGCTCTAGTTGGGGGAGAAGTTGGAGGCCTTGAATTTGGCAAGTTACCATTTGGTGCCTGTGAGGATCCTATTAGGTAAGCAAGAGTTCAGAACACTGTTTTATAACGTCCTTAATGGAGGGCTTATAGGTACATCATTTCAAATTTTAGCTTTGCCCACCTAGCACTTAGGATGTCCCTGACAGATATTTAATTATTCCAGCTCATCAGAAACATGGTTTAATAGCACATGAGACCATTTGCAAAATTGTCTGGTGATATTCAGAGTTGAAGCTCTGCTCAAATCACGTCTTGCACCATAAACTTCTGGAGTACTCCGTTTGTCCCTGAAATTATTATGTCTAAATGAACTGAACTGAAGATAAACCTTAGAAATCATTTGTCTTTGTTCAAGAGTGGGACTTGCTCTCAACCTTGACATTTGTAGAAGACTTAAAATGAGCAGGTCTGCAAAGTAAATTGTTCCACTGTGTGCCCTTCTGAACACCCCGGGACCCTCAGCAAAGCCAGGAGTTCTGTGGGTGGATCAGGCAGTGTTCAGTGCTGCGGGCAGTTCAGGGCAGCTGCAGGACTGAAATGTTGCTTTGTTTCAGTGAGCTCCACTTGGCTACCACGTGGCCGCACCTGGCAGAAGGCATCGTTGTGGACAATGATGTGTACTCGTAAGTATTTTGTCTGAACTGCAAACGTCCAACAGTGTGCTTCATTTAACTGCTGCGTTTTAGTGACATCTCAAACGCTCCGTGTGGCTTTGTGTGTGGAAAAGAACCCCTCTTGAGGAGTCGGGCGAGGTCAGCTGATGGAACACCTCATTTGGGAAAACACCTGCTTTTTAAATGCATTGCTGTGTGAGAAAATATTATTGTGTTGTAATCTCAACAGAACATACAGCTCTGTTTTTGAGCATATTCTCATGTTAGACTTGGAAGTTATTTCTTGGAGAAGGTAATAATGGGGCGTGGAAAGCAAAGAGAATTCACTGATTGACATCCCTCTCCCAAAAAATGTCATCCAGGTTTTATGCTAGAGAGGAATAAACCATGTTGGGTTTTTTCCTTCTTTCTTAATTAATGCAGAAATGAGTTTTCAACATTAATACACTTCAAAAGAAGACATTTTAGTTCTAACTGAATTTTTCCTGTGTGTCATGTACCTGCATGAGAACAGGGACTCTTGCTTGCGTTTCAGAGTGTTTGCTATGTTCTCCTGTGTAATGTGGTGCATGTTGTGGCTTCCATGGCCTCACTGGCTATGACCTTGCATTTATTGAGGATTTGGTACTCATCTTTTGCAAACTTAGTGGTGACAACATGGCACTTAGTTTGTTTTGTTTTGTTTTGAAGTGACCTGGATCCTATGCAAGCCCCTCAGTGGTCTGTGAGAGTCAGAAAAGCAGATAACCCTCAGTGTCTACTGGGTAAGACATCAGAATTTCTTGTCTTCCCTTAGGGCTTTTAAGCTACTGAGTTGTGAAGTGAGGGTTCAACTGGTGACTACCTGATGACCTGTTTCCTCATTCCCCTAATTTTTTTGAGTGGACAATAATTGAGGCTTCTTTTTAAAGCTTTGCAAAAACATGAGTTTCTGTTGTAGGTTACTCTGTGTCTATGTACCATGAACTTTATTGCTGTTCTTATTTCATCAGATTCCAGAGAACAAGAATTTCCTCTGTGTGTTCTGTGAAAATTTACATTTCCTAGAATGTTTCCATTTTATTAAGTGCCTTCTGCCTGTATCCATCTGCTCAGCTTAATCAGCCTGTTTGACAGGGAGGATTACTACATCTGGAGAGCTGCACTCTCCTGTCTGTCCTTGCCTTTAAGCTTGTGGGGGAAAAGGGCTTCAAAACTTTCCAAGTTTCCTCTTGCTGTGGGTGAGGAAGTGGATTCAGCTGCAGGCAGAACTGAGCTCTGCAGAGGTGGCTGATGCTGCCAGGGGGTGCATTTCCCTGAGCTTTAATCATGGTGTGGTTTAAAGAGATTTGTGCTTCAGAACAAGTGATCACGTTCTTTCAGATGAAAAGATCAAAATCACTGTCCTTTGGGCGTAATTTGGAGAACTGCCTTATTGTTGAGGGAGATGTTTAAGTGAGCAGTCATGGACAGACTTTGTTCCTCTCACAGGTGACTTCCTTACGGAATTCTTTAAGCTTTGCCGCCGGAAGGAGTCAACCGATGAAATCCTTGGGAGGTCTGCATTTGAAGAGGAAGGAAAAGGTAAAACTAAAATCCTGCTGCTTTGTGTTATTTGTTTTTAATTGTTTCCTGTTATTTTACCTCCCCTATCCCTTTTCTTGACTTTAGATCTGTTACTGTTTATACTTACATATACATACATACATATATATATATATATATATATATATATATATATACATATATACATATATATATGTATATACACTTATGCATTTTCTGTATTACTCCTGGGAATTTCCTGGCCAGTGCTGCATGGGGAGATTTCTCAGGAATTCTAGGCAAGCTTAGCTCCCAAAGTCCCAGAGGACAATTTCCTCTGTTAGAGTTGTGTGTGTCTTTTCTCACTGGAATACAAAAGCTTAAAATTTGACTATAAGTGTATGAGAGTTGGGTTTGAGCACACATCAAACAAGGGGGCTTGACATAGTCTCTTTAGCTGTGCTTAGCTCTAATTTTCTTGCAGTGTTTGCTAAGATGAGCATTTTCAGGCTGCTGGTAATTATTCACTTCAAATTGCCTGCCCTCTCTTTACAATATTCGTTCAGTTAGTTGTAAAAGACATTCTAAAGCTCACCAGCAGCAACTGTGGAAGAAAAAAATCTTCTGATTTGAGAAGTTTACTGAGGATTCTAAACCACCATGTAAGGTCAGGTATCTAGTGCTTAATAGAGGATTTATTTCAGGCTTATCTAAAGCTGTAGCATGGGTTTGAGCTGCCTGTGTTCCCTGCAGTGTTCTCATTGGTGTGGTGAGTGAACCAGGTTTGAACAGGGGCTCCTCAGCAGCCTTTTGTGGGCTCTGGTAGTGACTGCAGACAGCTCAGGCTGCACTTCATTGGTAAAATAAATCAAGGACAGTCTGGGACTCCTTTGTGACTTGTTCTGCTGCTTATATTGGTTAACACTGAGTAGTATCAGGATGGAACCTGACAGCACAGAGTGTAGCTGTGGTTAACAAAGGGTTAAAAATCAGTACAAGATAAAAACACTAGATCAGACAGGTGAACTGTGGAAGAGGGACGGTCAAGTGTTTGTGGTTTTTGTTTCGTTCTGATTGCTTTCATTTTATTTTATAGAAGTGGCTGACATCAGCCATGCCTTGTCCAAGCTCACAGAGCCAGCACCAGTCCCAATCCATAAATTATCCGTCACAAATATGGTTCACAGTGCAAAGAAAAAAATCCGCAAGCACAGAGGTGCCGACGAGTCTCCTCTAAACAACGAGGTGCTGAACACCATCCTTCTGGTGAGTGACTGTCCCTGCTTGTGAAATCAGGTAACACCTGCACTGATGCATCTGGTTTATGGTCCATAGCAGATTAAAAGGTGTCTGATACCAGTTCCATGGTTTGGATTGCAATTATCAGCTCGAAACAGCCCAAGTTGTTGTAGGTCTGTGTAATATAAGAGGGCTGAAAACAAACTCTGAACTCTACCAACCGTTTTAGTTGTAGGGATTGCTGGTGTGTAGCCAGCAGTGCCTTTAGGGAGAAAGTGGGAAAAGCAGGAAAACCGTACTGATGGGAGGTTAAATTTCTTTTCTTGAAGTTCTTGTTTCCTGATGCTGCTGACAAACTCGCAGATGGATGTGAAAGCAGAGCCAGCACTTCAGCAGGAAACAATCCTCCTCCAGAGAATGAAGATTATGTAAGTTTGACTGTCACTCAGCAGAGAGAAAGCAGTTTTGAGTGTGTGTGTTCATACAGACTTTGCTGTGGTTGCCCTACACCTTGTAATAGGTAACTTTTGGAAAGAGGAACTTATCTTTGTGGGATCTCCAAGTAGTGATTGTTTCTTTTTCCTTCTATTTTCTTTCTCTTCCAAAGACTGTAATTTTTGGTATCTTATACTTACAGGCTTAAAATGTTGGTTAGCCACTTGTACTGCTAAAGAGATTACATAGTTTGGGAAAAAAATACCATTGTTCCTTTATTTCTTGCTTTCTTTTGTCTCTTACCTAGAATCTCTTCAGCCAGTTTAAGTCTGCTCCCTCTGACAGTCTGACCTACAAATTAGCTTTGTGTCTTTGTATGATAAACTTCTACCATGGAGGAGTAAAAGGGGTGGCCCATCTTTGGCAAGAGTTTGTGCTGGAAATGCGCTACAGATGGGAGAACAACTACCTCATTCCAGGGTAAGATCTTCTTGTATTGTTGGTCCTTTGTGGTAGGAAATGTTCTTTGTTCCAGGAGCAGAGTCCACTGATTTGGGGTTTTTAATTGCAAATCCCACCCTTTATATTAGTGCAAGGAAGGGCAGGGAGCAGGGGAAGCATCTGTGCCCTCCTTTGAAAGCTTCCAGGTGTCTGTGGAAGCTCAGCTTAGAGATCTCTCCACTGCGTGAATGATGGGGGCGGAACTTAAAGGAACATTTGGCTCCCAGTTCATCCTCAGAGAAACATGAAGGAGCTGATAGAGGGAGAGGCACCTCTGCTTTGTGCTGGAGTTTATACCACTTTTGTGAGGAAGCTGTTCCAAGTTGTTGCCTTTTCAGGTATTCCAGCCCTTCCAGGCCCTGTCTGCTGCAGCAGAGCCTGTTGCAGACCTCATGAAGGGCTCTGGAAACATGAGGTATCAGTGCAGAGCAATAATATATCCTGCTTTTGGGGTTGTGGTTTCTTGGGGTTGGTTGGTTTGTTTGGGTTTTTTTGTTAATGGGGTGAACTGGCCATTTATTCACTAATTTGTACTTTGAAATGGTTGTACTAGCAGATAAAATAGAAGGTAAAATACACAGCAATCACTCCAACATATCATTGCAGTTTTAAAACCAGTCAAAGATGCCTAATTTCTGTTTGTAAACAGTTAACCTTTTAACTTCCAAATGGAAAACTGGCCAGGAAATGCACTCCCTAGTGTGAATGATCTCTGAGCTTCTGAAATGAACCTCCAAGAAATAAATATAGTTTAAATTCTGGGCTTGTCTCCTGAGACCATAGAAGAGCTGTGTAGTAGAAATGGTGGGGGTGGGTTCAATATGGGTATTTGGCCCTCTTTTAGATTTCATATGATTTAAGACCACATGTGTGAAAGATTCAACTTTATAATTGATAATGGTTACACTTCTACCTTTTGTTAGATTAGCTAATGGCTCTCCAGATCTGAGATGTTGTTTACTGCATCAGAAACTCCAGGTAAATATCCCAGATTTAAGAATGATTTTTCTCCTAAGGAAACTGTCAAAATTAAAGCAGTTATTAGCTAAATGTGTTGTTGTTGTAGATTTAGTTATGCTTGTATTTTTGGGTGTGGAATTCATTTGTTGGGAAAAATCTTTTTTATAGCGACAAGTTCAGTGGAGTTGTTTATCTTTTAGAATTGTAAGATGTTTTCAGGGGTTCTCCAAGTTTTTCTGTATGACTGTTTCTGTAAGAGAGTTAATTACTAAACAATTATTTTTTTGTTCCTTTAACTTGTTAGATGTTAAATTGTTGCATTGAAAGGAAGAAAGCAAGAGATGAGGGGAAAAGGGGCAGCGTGTCTGATCGTTCACCTGGTGCTTCTGGTGACTATGCAAAGGGAGCAGAACACACTGGGGACAACCCTGATAAGGAAAAGGAATTTGGCAAGTCTTGGGAATCGTGGAGCGACAGTGAAGATGAATTTTTCGAATGTCTGAGCGACACAGAAGACCTTAAAGGAAATGGGCAGGAAAATGGAAAGAAGGGAGGAGCAAAAGAAGGCAACAAAGAGCCTGCGAACATCAAACCAGAAGGCCGTCTGCATCCACACGGGAAGCTGATGCTGCTGCACCCTGGGGAGCCTCTCTACGTTCCAATAACACAGGTCAGGGAGCAGAGCTGAGCCACATGTGCAGCACAGCTCTCCCACAACCGGGCTGCTGCCTGGGGCCGTGCAGCTGGGTGTATCTGCAGGGTACAGACTTATCTGGGGTGAAAATGCTGAGTGCTTTTCATTTTTAAAACACCATGAGGGCTTTAAGCTGAAATCTCATATGCTCCTTGTTTTATTTGAGAGGGAGTCTCTTTACCAAATTTCACTCCAAACAAATTTTTTAAATAAGAATTAAGCTGCCTTGCCTACCTTAAATTTGATGGTGTTTTTTTTTATTATCAGTTCCTGAGGCATCTTCCATCACCTCCTTACTTCTCTTTCCTTCCACCATGGAGATTTCTAGGTGATTGAGCAGAATAAGGATCAGTTTTGCTGCCATGTCTTTTTTTTTTTTTTTTTTTTTTTTTTTTTTTTTTTTTTTTTTTTTTTTTTTTTTTTTTTTTTTTTTTTTTTTTTTTCATTTTTAACTTCTCTGCTCATATCTAAAAGACCAGAGCCATCAGTTTTGGTGCCATTCTGTACAGCAGGTTTATCAGCAAACAACTAGAAATGTTGTTTGGCTTTCCTGCAGGGTGACTGGGGATGAAAGAGGAAGCAGTGGTGCCACAGGAACCAGTTTGCAACCAGCCATGCATGAAGAGTACAGTGTTTTTCTTTCTCTTGAGAGAAATTATTTTCAATTAACATTACCTTGCTTGGGTAAAACATATGAGCAGAGTGTAGTCAGGCAAAGTGTTCTCAATTAATTATGTGGTGACACTGTCAAAGGCAAAAATTCTGTGTTACTTTTAGGTGGATTTTAATCCATCTCAACAGAACAGCGTCAGTCAAACATTCCCTGGAATTCCTCAGGGTTTTGGTGTTTTAACAGTATATCCTTATATCATTCCTTCATCCTCAGGTTAGTTCCTGTTTAGGTTCTCTCTGCTGGTGTCACATTCACATGCCCAGCTTGGCTGAACAGTTCAAACAGCAGAAAGTTCTGATTATTTCCCTTCAGTACAAACGGAGCCGAATGGACTTGTGGTGACAGGGAGCTTTTTCCTGCCCCTTCCTTGGGAAGGGCTGAGCTGAGGAGAGGCTGTTTGTAACCCTGGCCTGTTCCACGTTGCAGGAACCGGCCCCCATGACTGAGGATCTGCTGGAGGAGCAGTCTGAGGTGCTGGCAAAGCTGGGAACCTCGGCCGAAGGCGCTCACCTGCGGGCTCGGATGCAGAGTGCCTGCCTGCTCTCAGACATGGAGTCTTTTAAGGTACTGCTGCCTGGAGAGTTCTCTGACACTGCTTTCCTTTAATTAAACTGTCCCCCTTGCTTGTGTTGAACAATTTTGAAGGTTTTTCTGACAAGTTTTCTTTTTTTCTATACAAACCAGTTTCGAAATAATTTCAAGTTGAAAATAAACCCTTACTGCTAAAACTCCTGGAACACATCAAAATCTACGACAATGTAACATCCCAGTGAATCTGCACAATGTCTGTGGGAAGGGAAAAACCCACAGAAAAACATACAGTTGATAAATTGGGAATTAAAGCAGTTGTTTGGGACTGGACTAGCTGTGGTTTTGCGCAGTTTGTTCCATTTCTTGTGTGAGCTCTGCAGAGGGAGCTAAGAGCACACACACTGCTGTCATCAGAGGAGCTGAGAGCCAAAAGGATTAGAGATTCTGAATGAAATAGCTATATATGTGTTTTAATTATTGCACTATTCATAATAAAAGCATACAGATGTACTGTATTTACAACACACCAACATCAGTTATATAACTGCCGGTGAGTCATGGCATATTAGGTATATGTAGAAGTTTTATTTCTATGGTCCAAATGATCTGAAAACTCAAAAATATAGAACCATAATTAGAAGCACAAGTGCACTCTTGATAGGTACATTGAATAGTGAACTGGGTTTCCCTTTATATTCTGAATATGGATGTATTTATTAGTGTTGACATTGCACCTATGAAAAATCAAATTATTTTTGTTTGGGGGAGATTTTTTTTGAAGTTCCTTTGTAAAAGAGGAAGAAAAGGTGAATTTTGTCACTGGAGTGTTAAAAGCTGGAAAGTCAGTGCTGAAAGCATATTTATGCAGCCTGGTGATTCTTTTAGGCTTGGGCTGTTTTCATCCAGGTCTTTAATGGTATAAGCTTATACATAAAGGAATTTGTGAAAATTCCTATTTATTGCATATATCAGGTACCAGGTGGAAGTTTAACTGAACAGTGTAGTTTTTGAGCTGATGAGTGTACATTTTGTGAGTGATAAGAAAGGGTTTTTTGTTGTTGTTGATGATGTGTGTTTTCCCCTTGCCATTGTCTTGGTTAATGCTTTATTTCCTCCCTCTGCCAGGTCTCTGTCCTGCTGTACAGTTAATGCCTGTGGGCAGAACACCCCGAGTTTGGTCTCCCCACTAAACTGATGTTGCGTTTCCCAGCCAGGCCGTGGTTGTCCCAGGATTTGTCAGGAACAGGGTTTCTCTGCTCTCCTCCCTCAGGCAGCGAACCCCGGCTGTTGCCTGGAGGACTTTGTGAGGTGGTACTCGCCTCGGGACTACATCGAGGAGGAGGTGCTGGACGAGAAGGGCAACAAAGTCATCAGGGGCGAGCTGAGCGCCCGCATGAAGATTCCCAGCAACATGTGGGTGGAGGCCTGGGAGACCGCCAAGCCCATTCCGGCACGCAGGCAGAAGAGGCTCTTCGATGACACCAGGGAGGCAGAGAAGGTGAGGGCTCCGTGCTGGGGACACCTGAGCTGCAGTTCTGCAGCAGTCCTTGCTCCTTCCTCCTGCAGCATTCGAATTCCAGCCCTGGCTGCTCCCTGTGCCGTGGCCTCGCAGTCGCTGAACTGCACGGGCGTGGCTGAGGGGTAGCTGGAAATCCCTGCTCCCCTACGACAGTGGGAGGAGTTCCTAAAGCACTGAGTGTGTGCAGCGTGACTCACAGACTGTGTTACTGAGGTGGTGCTTTCAATTATCAGTAAATAAACAAGACTTTTACCTGCATGTAAGTGTTAGGAACACTTTAGTCTCCTAACACATACTTATTTTACCTCTTGGGACTGGATTCATGTAAAACTACATACCAGGTCCTGTGTTACAGCAGTGTTCCATTCTTTCGTCTTTCCTAGCTAACCTTATCTTTGGGAAGTAGTTTTGATCACTAATATATTCAGTTTTCTAATGTTGTAGGTGCTTCATTACCTTGCAGTTCAGAAACCAGCTGACCTTGCGAGGCACCTCCTGCCTTGCATCATCCATGCAGCTGTACTCAAGGTAAAGGACGAAGGTAAATAATGTTTAATAAATTATTAAGATGTTTTGGGGTGAGCAGTGATGCAATAATTACAATCTTGTTTCTTTCCTTCTAACAGAAGCAGTAGAAGATATCTCTTCAGTCAAGAAGATAATCAAGCAGATAATCTCTCATTCCAGCAAAGTGCTCCGGTTCCCCAATCCAGAGGACAAGAAGTTGGAAGTAAGGCTTTTGTACTGGCTGGGGCTGAAAACCTGAGAGGCTTTTGGACTGTTCATGGGAATGCTGAAAGCCCAGGGTTTTAACTTTCGCTTTTATCCGACTCTTGCAGGAGATCATCGCTCAGATCATGAGTGTGGAAGCAATCATTGCCAGGGCAAGATCTCTGAAAGCAAAGTTTGGGGTAGAGAAATGTGAAAATGAGGAGGAGAAAGAAGATCTACAGAGGTGACTGATGATGTTCTCTTGTTTTTCCTTTGATGCCCTTTTTTTGTACTTTCAAAATTTAGGACAGATGGATACAGAAATACTAAGGAGTCATATTTAGGTGTCCCCATCCTGAGACCATGGATGTTGTGTGGGTACCCTGAATGCTCCTCTAAATGAGCAGCTCTTTGAAAACATGTGATACAGGTTGTTTGACTGGAATTTGGTTTTATCATGATAGTCCTGGGGATTTCATCTACTTCTTGTGTAGGTAAAAGGTGTATTTGATGAATTCTGTCACAACAGAGGTAAAAGTAGGACTAGGAATTTAGTGTTTTCTGTAAATATTATGGAATTAAGTACACCCCTCCAAAGTTATGTTTTCTTGTTCTTGTCTCCTCACTGATGTGAAACCAGTCACCGAGGAGCTGTGAATGGGAAGTGACAAGGCAGTTTCCTTGCATCACTGCCTGCTGGCACATTATTGACTTAGTGCTCAGGATGACTAATAAGTAATGTTGAAAGAAATCCACATTAACTTGTTGCTGCTGTGCTGGGAGGAAGAGGTGGTGTTTTTGTAGGACGTACTGGGAGTTCAGAGGGGTTCAGAATGGAGAACTGAGAGTAGCTGCCAGTTGTCACCCTGTGCAAATGGTGCTGAGAGGAGGATCCCTCCTCCTGCCTGGAAACAGCTCTGGGCTTTGGGGTTAGCAAAGCAGATAACAGCCGAGGATTAAACATTCCCTTTTCCTTTGCAATGATTTGTTCCCCCAGGTTTGTAAACTGTCTCCTGGAGCAGCCAGAGGTGTCAGTTGTGGGTGCAGGAAGAGGACCTGCTGGCAGCATCATTCACAAGCTGTTTGTGAATGCTCAGAGGGTAAGAGGGAGCTCTGGGTTACTTTGCAGGCACTTGTGATTTAAGCAGAACGAAGCGATGACTTATCATATGATGCCAGTGTCTGTTGTCTGCACACGTGCATGTGTTGTCATAAATGTGCTTGAGGTGTTTTTTTGTGATGTTCAACATGGTTTTGGCAATAACAGAGCCTTGCAAGGCAAAGGCAGAGTCAGTGATGTGGGATGTTAAACAGCTGAAGCCAGCTGGGGAGACAGAGGTGTCATTAATGGCTGATGCACTTCAGTAATGTTATGTTGTCAGCACAGATTCCTGTCTCAGCAAGAACAATCAAGTGTTGATTGTTTCACATAGGGACGTAGAGAAACAGGTCACAATATTCAATATTTTAGAAGGAGTAACTTTTTAGACTGGAGATACTTGGAATAATTGAGACTTCTGTGGAAACTGGCATGCTTAGGAAGTGTCAGCTCTTTGTCAGTATGACTCTACATTTACTTACTTATTGCCAGTGTTGCATCTGTTTCCTGGAGTCCCTTCCCTTGCTGATATTGATGCAAATGTTGCCTTTTTCTCTGAAGCAATGTTTGTAATAGTGAGCCTTAAAGTATTGATTTCCAAACCTCATGGACTGCAGTCGCCCTTCGGTTTCTGTCAGAATTACACCTGCTCACAGCATCGAGTTCTCTAACTCAAATTTGACTGCAATGCTAATAACAAGGTAGCACAGTATTGCAGACATCTTAGAGCCTGACATTCCATTTGGGAATAATTGCTGGGAAAACACTGTGATTGGGTGTTAAACACTTCGAAGGTACGGATGCCTCGGTAATAAACTGTGTTTTGCACCACAGCGTAAAAAGGACCATTCTGAAAACAGACCGTGGTTATTGTGAGGGATGAAAATCACAGCATTTAGTTTATCCTTCCAGTCTCTAGGGAAGAGCTGCTGCAAATCTCAAGGTGCCAACCAGCCTGACTTACAGCCCTGTCAGTGCCTGCACTTGGCTCTTTAGCACTGGGTCAGGGTTTCAAAGCTGAGTAGGTTTCCAGGTTAATGTCTGATAGATGTGTGCACATTTCTAGGGGTTTGTCTGTTTTGTAGCTAAAGCAGGTTACAGATACTTCCCACTAGGAGCTGGTCACTGTTCATTAGGATTTCTTAGTGCAATAGAAGCCAGCTTGCTACGAACCCCCCTTTGTGTTTCATCTGCTGTTACTTATTTAGATAGAGAGCTGTTAGGTAAACAGAAGTTGAATGAATTCCTTGTTCATGATCTTAGACTCCTCTCTGAGTCGTGTTTAATGTGTTGTGTTCTCAGATTTTCTCAGGAATGTTGTGGTAGCCAGTGCATGCTCTTGGAAGTAGAGTGCATGATGTCTCTTAAACCTGCAGTCTCCTAACCTCTTGTAAGTCACCTCTGACTTGCCTTTGTTTCTGTCTTTCATCACTGGTTCTTTTCTCATCCCTTTCCAAGCTGACTGAATCTTCTGATGAGGTAACCAACTTTGTCCCTCCTTTCCCACTCATCTTCCCAAGCTGCGTAGAGTTGAACCTTCTGGTAGAGATAGTAGAGAAGCTAGAATTAGTTCGTACTGTTGTTCATGTATTAAGCATAAAAATAACTTTGTGTTTCCAGAATGGTTTTTCTGCATTCACAGACTTTATTTTTAGAGCACAATAACAGGTAGTGAAAAGAGAGTGAAATCTCTCAATAAAAAACCAAAAGCAACAACAACAAAAACAAACGAACCCATTCCCAAACCAAACAAAAATGCAAACAAAAACATTTCTTCAAGTGAATATCGATGTTTTCTGATGCTGAAATATGTGGTCATGCTTTATATTCTCTTTTGCCATCCCTATTTGTTTGTTGAGCAGATGTTTTGGGGGGATGGACGGTCCCTGGGTTTTGCATTCTTGATACCAGGACTTACTGAAACTATGGAACTCTTTGTACAGTGATATTTGGGGAAGAACTGGGGTAATTCCACAAAGTGCAGCACAGGGAGCATCCTCTCTGTTGGTTTGCTAGAGCTGTTCTTGTGGGAACAAGTGGTGCTTGTCCACGGTGAATTCTGTGGCACAAACTGCAGAGCCAGGTAGTGCCAGGCCCCCCACTCCTGAGTGTGGGAGAGGGTTTGGAGCAGAGGGGAGGCTCTGAGGGACCGTGAGGGTCATGCAGGGGGTTCTGCCAAACCTCAGTGACAGTGCCAGGCTGGAGCTGTACATGCTGAAATTGGGCAGGACCCTGTTGGGGTACTGTTGGGGGGGGGTGTATCCAGAGGTGGGTGTGATTAGGGAATGTTTACTGGGCAGGCCAGCCCTTGTTGCAGTGTGCAGGGGCAGTGTTGCTGTTGAGTGTGAGGCAATGAGCACCGGGGGAGGTGGTTCAGATGCTCCCTTGCTCTGCACTGCACTCCCCCTGCAGCCGGGTGTGAGTCTGCACAGGCAGGTGACTGGCAGGACTGCAGTGGTGGTACAGATGATTTTAGAGAGGAGGCTGGCCTGGCCTCCCCAGGGAGCTGAGGAGAGAGCCGTGCCTGAGGAGGGGCCGTTCCTGCTGCTCACAACCCTCACTCGCACTGCCGGAACATCAGGAGCTTAATCCGGGCTGAGCTTCCCCACTCACACGTGCAGGTTATTCCATCTGGTTCCGTGCGCTTTGTGTCTCGGCATCCCATCAGTGCCCCGCTCTGCGTGCACATTTAGCCCTCTGGCGCGTTCCATTTCTGCTCCTCCTCAGAAGTATTTTCCGAGTGCCTGGAGGCAGCGGCCGTGCTGTCACCGTGCCTGTGCTCTGTTCCCAGGTCCAGGCGCCGCTGGAGGAGGAGCTGCGGCGCTCAGGCTGTCCGGAGGAGCGCAGGCAGGGGGTGCAGTCGGAGTTCCCCCCTCCCACGGGCCGGGAGGTGATCCTGCGCTCGGCCGTGCCCCGGCCCGCGCCCTACTCCAAGGCTCTGCCGCAGCGCATGTACAGCGTCCTCACCAGGGAGGATTTCCGCCTGGCCGGGGCCTTCTCTGCCGACACCACCTTCTTCTGAGCCACTGGCCCATCATCTTCGTGTCCTCACAGCAGCGCGGGGCTCGCTCCCGCGGCAAGGGAAGGGAAGGAAGGAAGGAAGGAAGGAAGGAATGCTGCAGATGGACTGGCTGTGCTGAGGAGACACCGCGTGCACCATTCCCGAGGACGGGGGTTGGCAGACCTGAGGGGTGTCTGCAGCAACTCACCTTGGAGGGTTGGAACGGCTTCACAAGTAGTTTCAGTCAGATCTTCGGGAAAGAAAATGTAGCAACCTCCTTTCTGCCCCCAAAGGGAGCATCTTTTCTTTTCTTTGCATTAGCTTGGTTAATTATGGACCTGAATGGGCTGTGTGCAAATATTCATGTTGAAATTCCTACAGAATGTGCTGCTCTGCACTTCTGGATCAAACTTTATCAAGTGACATTAGTCTACTTAAATTGATCTAAAAACATAAGTAATTTATATTTATTGCTAATCATAATTACAGAGCCCAGTATGTTTTGGTTAATCACTAAATTTCAAGTACTTCTAAAATACCCTTATTTTTATTTAAAGTATACACTACGCTGTAGTTCATGCCAAGCCTTCCTGGCATTGCAGTTGTTGCCCAAAAAGATCTTGTCCCTTCTCCCAAACAGAAATAATGACATATGGGGCTAGAACTGGACACTGAGAGCCTGCACTGATGGTTTGGGGAACTTTATCCCCTTCCCTGGTGCGAGGACCAGAGCTGTGTGAAATGAGCCCTGCAGAGGTGTCTCACTGTGAGCAACGTGCTGGTATCTCCAGAGGCTGTTTGCCTGTCCCGTGGCTTTGCTGTGAGGATGGAACATTCTGTCACCTGCTGGCCCCTCACCCCCCCGGTACCATCAGACACCGACGTGTTCATGCCAATGTTGCTTCACAGTGACCTCCATGTGTTCGATGAGAATCAGCAAAAAATCAGCATCACTTCACACAACGAAATGTACAAACAGCTACAGTATTGTGGACATTACTCAATAAATATGAATTTATTATTGGCTCCCAGCATTCCCATGCTTTTCCATTCCCTCCTTGCATGAGAATCTGACCCAGGAAGGACATTGTTTAGACTGTGACTACATGATGTGTAGGAGTTGAGTTCTGCTGACAGTAGGGTCCCAGTGTTGCCCTAAAGCTCCTTTGAGGGGACAGGGGTCAGAGTGTTTTCCTCAGATAATGCTCTAGCAAGTAGAAATGCATTTTTCAGGATGAAGCAGCGTGAATTTTCTTCAGGGAAAGTGCTGTCACGGAATTTGTTCTCTAGGTGGTTTGTGTGAGAGAAATTCCTCTGGCCAAGGGGTAAGTAAGATAAACACCGGTGTAGTTGCTGTTTAACGGTGTAGCTTCTTTAAAAGAAAGTGCACTGGGCTAATTACTGATTAATTAAACTTTAACTTAAGCTTCTTCCCTGATCCCCTTGGTTTCCTCCTCTCTAATCAAGTTTTACACTGCAGTGTGGACTCTTGTAAAGGCTGTATAAACTCAACAATCCCTCACACTTACTTGGTCCTTTAAACTGCTGGAGAGATCATTCCTTTATTATACTCAGGCACCACAAACATCATCCAGTGTTTTTTTTCAGGCTGTTACCCAAAGGTGTCTTTATTACCTAAAAGCATCTTTGCTGGAAGGGTCCAGTGAGTTTGACTCTACAGAAAATGGTGCAGTTATGCAACTACCTTGTCTTAAACATTCCTTTTTGCAGTAAAACATTTATAACTTCTAAGAATTTTTCTCAGCAGGGTAGCACTTCAGCTTATTTTAACTAGATGGAGTTGAAATTTCAGCCACATCCTTTCAGGAGACGTGATGTGTTGTGCACAGCTGTGATTTAGGAGCTTACAACTGCCTTCCAGCGTGCCAGGGGTGAGGAGAGACAGAGAACAAAATCACCAGGAAAAAGAACTGTATTTATTTAAAGGAACTGTAAAGAAAGGCAGGTAAGCAGTCCAAAATAACCAGCAATCTTATTAAGGAAAATGTGACTGTAGCATTTCCCAGGAACTACTTTGATGACATAATTGGTAATATTTAGTATTCCTTATCATGAATAAGATTTAATACAAGCTGGGTTAAGTACAAAAACAGCATTCAAGTGCCATCAGTTCTAAATCCCAGAGTCCTGTAAGTCAGGCTCAGTGCAGTAAGGTTACCTGCAGAAATTTATCTTTAAGCCACAGGGTCATAAAGATATGACCATAATTAAGTCACAAAACTTTGGATGCCCTCTGACCATCAGTGTTACAAATGATTCCTTGGTTTTAATTCCATATTTTCTCCTCTCTACCAGCAGCACTGATGAGCTAAAGAGGTTCCTGTTGAATCAGTGCATGAGGAAAACTGTATAAGTGTACTGGGTTTAGTGTTACATTATACCTGAAGGGATTTGGCGTTTTACATCTTCACAAAAAATTTGGTGATGTCACAGCCGTACTTTGTAGCCAAAGACCTTCTTTTCAGTTGGCTTCTTTCCTTGGCCTGCTTGGCAGTTCTCTGCAAAGAGAGAGACAGGTCTGTCAGTGAGTGCTGAGACTTGGCACCTCTGTGCCCAGGGAAAGCATCAGCCCCCCAGCTGAACTCCAGGCTGATTGTGCAGTGCACAGCATAATAAAATGCTGATTTTTATTAAGGTGGCATTTTCCCAGATCCTGAGCAAACTGTCATATTACAATAGTTTAATGCTGCCTTTCCACCTTTGCCATGTGGGAGGGAGGGGCTGAGGGCAGGGGGTTCTGCAGGGCTGGGGAGGAGCCTGCCTGCAGTCTCCAACTCCAGGGGAGAGGGCCGGGATTCCCGGCCCCAGCACACTGACCTCCCTGTGGCAGGCTGTGCACAGAGTCTGCAGGTTGTCCAGGGAGCACTGTCCCCCTCCGCTGAACACGGGCTGGATGTGATCGACCTGCCAGAACTGCCCCTCCGCCGGGCTCCGCAGCATCTCGTTCAGCTGCAGCAAACACAGGACAGGGCAGGGGGGTGAGACACTCCTGAGCTATGTGTGCACACCACAGCAGAACAACGACAGGCACCTATTTATAGTTTTCATCAGGAAAAACAAAGCCAGCCTTGGCATTTTTCAGTTACTCCCACTGGAGAAGCAAACAAGTGTAAGAAGTTGGCATGTTTTCAACCCAGCCTGAACTGTACAACCCGCCCTGGTATTTACGTTCACCCTTACAGAGTCAGAACTTCGATGCCTGTGCCTTCTAGAGATGAAAAATCTGTTAAAAGACGGTGGAATAGAAAAATTGTTAGAAGTCAATGGGATTCAGTTTGATTGTTAAGGATTAAGGACTTTTTTATTTCTTGTTCTGTTGTTCATGCTGGGTTGACTTTCTATGTTAAATCTGTGGGTTTCTCTGAAGTGCCTGTCCCCAGATGAGCTGTAACTGCACCCCAACAGTTACCTGCCCCAGTGGGAGGTGGGACATCCACGAGTTCTCCAGCAGTTCCTTGCGCCGACTCCTGGGGGCGTCTCTGACGCTGAGATAAAGCTCCTGCGCGTTTTGGTGACAGAACTGGCACACTCCGCGCTCCACCTCGAACACTTTGGCCCTGAGGTAGCTCTGGCTGGAGCGGATGGAGAAATCCTCCTGGCAGGCGTGGGAGCAGAAGCGCGTGTCCCAGGCGCGGCTGGCAGGTGGGAGCGGTGCCGTGGGCTGCTGGCAGCTCAGGCACAGCGGGGCCCCCTGGCTGTCCAGGGCCTGCAGGTACCCTCGGGGCTGGGGAGAGCCGTCACTCTGCGGGCAATGAGGGGCTGAGGGACCTCCTGCAGCGTCCGAAAGCAACCTGTGGCCCAGAACAAAGCCCAGCTGTGGGTAAAGGAGGGATTCAGCCCCACCGTTCAGTTTTATGCACTGTGTCTGCTCTGCTCTGAAGTAGCAATTTCAGACTGACCTCTGCACTCTGCACACCCTCCACCCGGCTTACATCTCCACTTAGACAGCATTTGACAGTGTAACAAGGCAGATTTTTCTTCTGCATATCTCACGACATTTACATTAGCTGAAATTATACTGTATTCATAAAAAAGGGTGGGGTTTGTCAGGCGTAGACACATACAAAAGTAAAATGTTTCAGCCCCCCCTTTAACAGAAGTAAAAAAGTCAAAGGAAACCTCCTGCTTTCTCTTTACAATCTCTGTGGGTACCTCTTGCTTTCCTGCTCCAAATAAGGCAGGACAAACACTGCTTGTTAAAAAAAATTTTTTTTAAATGGCAATTTCTGTCCAGAATTTTCATAATAATTTCTCTCTTTTTTCTAAATTTTGAGGCTAAATAAAAGAAAACTTGACGTGTTGAGTTTGCTGTCGACCCCACAGGCAGGCTCAGCTCACACTCTTTTTTGTTTACTGAATCGTTGTTTTGTTTTAATCAGCCTC